TCCAGCGTTGAGGTTCGGCCGAGCGTTGCGGCACAGCATGCCGAGGGTAGTAGGCCCAGCGTAGGGTAGGGGGCACACGCACGGGAAAGGCCGGCACCGGCACGGACAGCCCTGGCGTGGATGCGGCGCAGAGAGGAAGAGGAGGGGAAAAGGGACCAGCCACAGTGACCCAGTGAAGGAGGCGTGCTTATGGTGGGGCACTGGGGCTGCTATGGGTGGGAGGCGCGGAAGATGGAACGACACGGGGAAGGCGCGGGCCACGATGGGGCTCAGCACGGCGGCATAGAGGAGCTCGAGATGAGCGGCCGCGGAAGGGAGGAGCGGCACTGTGGTGTCGGCGGGCACGACCACAGCGATGGTGCGGGCACACGGGAGGGACAGCATGGGGAAGCTACAGGTCCAGTTTGGCCGAGGGGCGTGGGCATGCTCGCTCATGGGGACAGGCCAGCACCGGCGGGGTGAGGCGGCTCGGTGCGTAGTGGAGCTGCGGAGGAGCAGCGCAACGCCGAGGGCGTAGGGTGGAGCCATGCGCTCTCGAGGGAGGAAGAGAAGGGAACAATGACGCGCGGGGGAATAGGAGGAGGTGCTCGGACTAGTAGAGCAAGTAGCTGCAGACCGAACGGCCAGACCAGAGCTACGGCGTCTCCTCCACGGCAATAGAAAAGGAAGGAGCGAGAAGCAGCACGAGGGGGGTACACATCGTACAGACACCAGAGCACCGACACGGAGGCAGGATGGGATGGCTCAACGTGGCCGTTAGCTACGTGACTACGCGCGCATAGAATGTGAAAGGACATGGCGAAGGCAGGGGGCAGAACCATGTGCTCCAATTAAAAATTCGGACTAGACCACCAGGTTCACAAGCAAGCGAGGAGCAGTCGGTCAACTTGTACAGTCTTGTGCAGAGATGACAAATAGGAACATGTTACCACTACACTTAGCGCCACTGTGACACGTAGGAGTATGTTTTAAATAAAAAATCCAAGAAACTCATTTCGAAAATTTTACTTAGGCCTAAATCGCGGTGCTAAACAAGCTCATAACACCAGGGGTGTTACACTTTCGATGTGTCACTCGGGGGTACCTGCCATGAAACATTCATGAGAGGGGTGATGGCTCCCCCTGCTGGAGTCAAAGCTGGAGGGCGACTCCATTTCTGTCGCGAGGAGGTCGTGGAAAGACTCTGTGATATATTTGGTCATCCCCATGAACCCATCGTTTGTAGGGAATGGAGGCATGTGTTGCGTCACAAGGTGGCCAACGGTCTCTGCGGCGTTGCAGAGACTGGTCAAGAGCGCTGTCGGGGTGCTCCGGATGAGGTATTCTGGGAAGAGCGGCTCTCCTCCGGCAAACTGTGTCATGATATTGGTGAACGAGAAGGTGAAGTGGCGCAGGTCCTCCTAGGACGGTCAGGGTCTCAGGAAGGCACCGAGCTGGTGCTCTATCCTCCCGTAGTCGAAGCCGAGGAGCTGGTCGCCCCTGGGGGCATGGGCCTCCGGTGCATGCAGCTATATCTCCTCAAGCACCTCAGCGATCGCATTGAGGCTAGCAAAGTGGAGATGTCGGACGATGACTGGAGCCCGCACCAACTCTCCCTCTGTCGTGACGATGAAATCTAGGTTCCCGAAGCGCATGTGCATGCCTAGGACCCAGCTGACGTTGTGACTAGCCATCCAAGGCCTGGTGTGGATGTTGAGACACGCCAAAGGCCCCTACTTGGTGCGCCAACTGTCGATGTTTCAAGTTACCACCAACGAGTAAATTTCTAATATTGCGCGTCTGCCTCGGATAGTGTGCTTAGAGGACATGCGGTTTATACTGGTCCGGGCAGAATGTCCCTATGTCTAGTTCGTTGCTGCTACTCGTGTTACTACCACTAAAAGTTTGTAGTAGGGGTTACAAATGGGCGAGAGAGGGAGAGGATCCCAAGTCTTTGGTGGAAAGAGTGAGCGGGTGCCGAGAGCTTGGTCATTGTTCGGCCATATGCTCGCATCGTGCTTTTGTGTTGATCTAACTTGAGTCGGATCTTGATGAGTTCATTCGATGCCCCTCATGGGATGCCCTGCTTTCCCTTTTATAGTCTAAGGGAAAGCACGGGTTACAGCGAAGGGAAAGAGAAGAACAAGCGAGAGACAAAGGCCTTCAGGATCGTCGGGTCCTTATTCTCCTTCATGCGAGTCCCACCGACTCTGTAGATATCAACAGGACCGGCGTCATGTTGTGGCCTTGTCCATCACTAGCGCCATGCACAGGCGTTGTCTACCGGTCATGGCGCTCCACTCCATCCTAGCGGACATCGTGGTGAACTGACGCGCGTGCCAGTGTTAATACGAGGGTTAGGCAAAACAGCACCGGTACGCCCAACGCTATTCTTGATGTGAATCCTTAGGTAAAGCCCATCGTGGCCACGGGTTACATCAAGGCAGGCTAGTCTCTTCCCTGGTGTTAGAGTTTTGACCCAGGCCCATACGCCTGGACCTAGAGTGGTTGGCAGTGGTATGGGACTCTATCGGGCGAGACAGAGCTCGCACCCGAGGGGTCGGGTGAGGCGGAGCCCACGGTCTTGGGGTCGAGCGAGGCAAAGCCCATGGCCTTGGGATCGGTGTCGGGTGAGGCAGAATAACACCGGTATGTCCGACGCTGTTCTTGATGTGAATCCTCAGGTATGACCCATTGTGGCCGCGGGTTACATCGAGGCGCGTCATTCTCTTCCCTGTTGTCAGAGTTTTGACCAAGGCCCATACGCCTGCACCTAGAGTGGTTGGCGGCGGTATGGGACTCCATCGGGCGAGATAGAGCCCACACCCGAGGGGTCAGGCGAGGCAGAGCGAAAACCCTAGGGTCGGGCAAGGCAGAGCCCATAGTCTCGGGGTCGAGCGAGGCGAAGCCCGTGGCCTCGGTGTCGGGCGAGGCGGAGCCCGTGGACTCAGTGTCGGGCGAGGCGGAGCTCACCCCTAGAGGTTGGGCGAGGCAAGGTTCGTGACCTTGGGGTCAGGCGAGGTGGAGCCCGAGGTCAAGAGGTCAGACAAGGCGGAGCCTGCGGCCTTAGGGTCGGGTGAGGCGGAGCCCTCCCCCGAAGGTCGGGCGAGGCGAAGCATGCGACCCTAGGGTCGGGCGAGGCGGTGCCCGTGACCTCTGTGTCAGGCGAGACGGAGCACGCGGCCTTGGTGTCGGGCGAGGTGGAGCCCACCCCCAGAGGTCGGGCGAGGCGGAGTCCACCCCCAGAGGTCAGTTGGAGCTGTAGTCGCGCCCTTGACTGCTCGGATGAATCAATGTTGATGGTCATTAGCTCCTCCTCTTCGGGTACCCTAGTACTGGTCCCCAACAGTGCTTCACGCACCACGCCTGCTACTGCTGCTGCTGCTGGGTCTATGTGTGCTGCTGCTGCGCCTACCCTGTGCTTCGCACCCTGCGCCTGCTACTGCCGCTGGGTCCGCGCGTGCTGCTGCTGCGCCTGCATGGGAGAGCATGTGCGTGGGGCCCACCTAGCTAAATGCGAGAGAGAGGGTGGGAGCATAGCGCGCGTACCTGTGTTGACCCTGGCTACATGCTCCACCCTAGGGGACCAAGCCTGGTGGTGTAGGGGCGTCCGGTTCTGCGTCGCTGGCTCGCTCTGGCGCTTTGCATGTGCGCATGCACTTTGACCAGGGAGTGCTTGGCCATTTGGGCACTAACCGCCCGTTGTGGGCACGTCTGACTATTGGAGCTGGCCGGCATGATAGAGATAGGCAGTGTTGGCCCGCATGACAGAGATATGCAGCATTGGATGGGTGCGTGCCCGCGAGTCAGAGCGCGTGGGGAGCTGCATCTGCTGCAACATACTGAAACCAGGTGAAACAATTAAAACATACGTTTGCAACATATGTGTATAACTACCGCAACATATAAAACATCCAAATAAAACACTTGCAACATACGTATGAAAATAGGTGAAATATTTGGAACATACACTTGCAACATACATGTATAGCCACTGCAACATATGCAACATCCAGATGAAAAGATGCAACATCCAGATGAAAACAGCTGAAACATTTCAAAAACAGAATTGCAATATACGTGTATAGTCATTGCAACATATGCAACATCCAGATGAAACACTTACAACATATGTTTGAAACAGCTGAAACATTGGAAACATACACTTGTAACACAAGTGTATAGCCATTGCAACATATGCAACAACATATCTACTTTTGCAACATCCAGATAAAACATATGCAACATACATCTGAAACGCATGAAACATACGGTTGCAACATGTGCTCATCTACTTACTACTGCCCAATGAAGGTTGACATGGGCGTGGGGAGCGTAGCACGAGGCGCGGACGGCACGCGGTGCGAGGCATAGGCGGGGTGCGCGGCACGAGGTGGGTCTGGCGTGAGGCGTAGTGGCACGTGGCATGAAGCGGGTCCGGCGTGAGGTGCAGGGGCGCGCGGCACGGGTGGTTCCGTCCCGGTGGAAGTGTCCAGATTTTTTTAATATATGATGGGCGCGCGTCCGGCCAGACGGACCCTCGCTAGATAGCATTACCGTAACAGGAATGAACCACCGGAGGCCTGAGCGTCTCGCTAGTCGCAAAGGGCTAGCGCTAGCCCCCCGCGCACGCACCCCCGCTAGCCAGGCAGCGGCCGGGTGGTTGGAGGCCCCCACGCGCGCCTGTGCCCCCGCACGCTTGTCAGCTAGGTCAGGTAGCGGCCGGGAGGTTGGGCTGCGGCCACTAGGGTTCTGCTCTGAGCAGTGGTGTTCGACCACGAGCAACGTAGGATAGAGGTGGGGGAGCAGGGGAGGCCGCTCCAGCATTGGCCTCGTATGCGGCGGGCTTTCTAGCGACAGGGGCGTCTCCCTCAACTCCGCGTGCTCGGTGCTATCTAGATCCGAGTGTCTCGACCCTGCTCTTGCACACCGGCTAGGCCAGGGGCAACCGGGTGGTCGGGGTAGTGGCCAGAGGCCCGCACGTGCCCGTGCCCCTACGCGCTCGCCGGCTAGGGTAGGCGATGGCTGGGTGGCTGCGGCTATGGCCGAAGCCGCGTGCGCCTCTCCTAGATCCTAGTGTCTGGCCCCCGCACACGCACGTCGGCTAGGCCAGGTGGCCGGACGCCCGCGCATGCACGTGCCCCCGTGCGGTGGCCGGCTAGGCCAGGCAGCAGCGGGGTGGACGGTGCTGCAGCCGAAGTCGCATGCACTCGTGCGTGTCTGGGTCTGTGCCCGTGCTTGCTGACCGATCGGGGGCCTAAACGTCGACGGCCAGTCCAACCAGTTCCACAGATTGATCGTTAGGGGCCGCTGGGCTGCCGTAACACTGCAACTGCAGTGCCAAATATTTCAAGGCCATGGGAAAAACCTCAGGTATCTAGCTCTAAGCTGGTCTGGTCTTCAGGAAGACCCGCTACTGCTTATTGCTGCACATGTGCCAAACCTCAGCTATCTGAGCCTTAATAGGGTGAGCGGCACAGAGACAATGGTTATTTCTGAAGGGTCCTTTCCACAACTAAAGGCACTAATACTGAAGAACATGCTCAATGTCAACCAGTTGACAGTTGGGAAGGATGCTCTTCCAAATATTGAAGGTTTATATATTGTGGCGCTGCCGAAACTGAATAAGTTTCCTGAAGGATTTGAATCCCTTGTGTCTTTAAGGAAGCTGTGGTTACTGTCTCTGCATAAGGATTTCAAAATCCTGTGGGCGTTAAGTAGAATGCGCCAGAAGATGCCACAAGTGGTGGAGGTTCGCGTCGAGTGATCGCCTGCTTCTTCATACAACAATACTTCTGATTATTTATGCATATAGTCCTTTGTCTTTGATTCTTCCAGTAGACCTGCAATTCTAAATGCTTTTGTGGCTTGTGTTTTTCCTTTCAATAAGTTCGGAAGAAACAGATCTCCTCACCAAGAATGTGCCTGATAGTTTAGGGTCTTGTTTGAGGGTCCTGCTAGAGATTTCTCGTATGAAAGGCCATGAATGGTTGGAAACTGTCTAATGTAGTCATGATTTGAAACTGTCCCGGGCGAACATGGAAAGCGTGCATATTGTTTGTTTCAAATTCGAAAAAAAAGCAGGGGTCGTCAAAAGAGTGTCTGCGAGTTCCATAATCTAATCGTCAGCTTTCGACTAATTAATCACCAAGGAAAGTGGATTCGGTTAGGTCCTCATCAGCGTTCCACTGATCCGCGCGCACCGCAATTATTTTACCTGCTACTTGGGTCGGCATCAGCTTTTGCTGAACCAGCACATGCACCGCATTGGAGACTTGGAGTCAACTAGCAGGTCTCCTCCCTTGGGCCAAATGCAGAGGTCCAACAACCAACATACTTCTGTTCGCATTAATCTTGAATCTCGATAAAGCATAATCTACTCCTACCTCACTGGTTGCTGCCCTCTCCTTTCCTTTCCTCTGCTCACCATCGCTTCAAGGAGGGTGGCCATTGCAAGATTGCTTCAGGTTGGTGACCCTGATTCTGCTATATATTTAATTCTGAAAAGGTTTTAGGGAAGTTTATTTGCGCCAGGCTGCCAAATCTAACATGGCGACTCTGAGCATATACATGTGGATTTTCATCACATACTACTGGTTGTTGCCTTGTTGGTCCTCAGATACTCTTGTGTGCTCATCGTTTCTAAGGAGGTTGATTGGTGTTGTAGCAAACAGCAAGGTGACAAAAAACCAGTAAAACCTTTTCGTGATACTATATTCTCTCTGTTAGTCATGTTTTTTTTTTCTTACCAGGAGTCATGTTAAATAGTTCGTGACCCTTTTGTTGGTACTCTGCTATTTTTGTAATTTTGTCTCTCATATTTTGGAATAGTAGAGAGACGGATTCTTTCAGTTCTCCTCTCCTCTAGTATTCTTGTAATATCTTAGCTTATGCTTAAACTTACTCCTGTCAGCCAGCACACCCCCCACAACAGTAGTCTTTAATTTCAGTCTAATTGAAGAAGTATTCTAAAGTCATGTTTTTTCTTTCTTATACTACGTATATATTTCGGTTCTCGAAGAAAAGCTTTCTACGTATATATTTCGGTTCTCGAAGAAAAGCTTTCTACATGCACATGCAGCGCCGATTTGCTCTCCAAAACCTCGTCCTCACCTTCATTCACTTCGCGTGGAGGTCACCCGGCGCATGCACCGCAATTATTGCACCTGCTTTTTTCTTATAACATTTTTTTAGGAAGACAGGAGGGCAAAAGCCCTACTTGAAAATAAACTACGAGCTGCTAATGGCAGCAAAAAGTACAGGTTTACTACAAGTTAGTATAACATAATATTGGAGTACGTAGCTGCTTGTTGGGCTTTTGCTGGAAGCAGCACATGCACCGCAATTACGGGGAATCTCAAGTGTGCTCAATGCTCAGTCAACTCGCAGGTCTCTTCTCCATTGGGCCAAATGCAGAGGTCCAAGATACTTTTGTTCGCATCAATCTTAATATAAGCATCGTCTACTGCTACCTTACTGGTGTGGTTGCTGCCCTCTCTCCGTTCCTCTCCTGGCCATCCCTTCAACAGGAGTAGTGGCCATCTGCGAGATTGCTTTGGGTTAGTGACTCTGATTCTGCTATTCCATTCTCAAAAGGTTTTACGGAAGCTTATTTGCGCCAGCTGGATCATCGTAGCTCTGTGGTTTAACCTGGTGACTTCATTTGTTCCGTAACTAATGTATGTGTGGTCGTAGCATATATACATGTAGATTTTCATCACATACCACTAGTTGTTCGTCGTCATGTACTCTTCTTGCAATGGAGATTGATTGGTGTGGTTGCAAACAGCAAGGTGACAAAAGGCAGAAAACTTTTCGTGACTATATATTCTCTCTATTAGTAAAGTTTTTTACAGGGAGTCATGTTAAATAGTTCGTGCCCCTTCGTTGGTACTCTGCTATTTTTGTCTCACATATCTGGACTATTAAAGAAACAGATTCTTTCAGTTCTCTTCTACTTTTCTCTAGTATACTTGTAACATGCATAAGCTTACTTCACACGATTTTTCTTCCAGTCACTGAAGCCAGCACGTCCCCCCAGAACATCAGTCTTCAGTCTAATTGAAGGCTGAAGTCATGTTTTTTCTTTCTTCTACGCATACATTTCTTACTGCCAGTTGTCTTTCAAATTGGGCATGGGGTGCTCTCTAAACAATTCCTGTCCATTCCCATATTATAACAATTTGTGTATTTGCAGGTTGATTCCATATTTACCATCATATATACCTTTCTGAAATCCATGGATGTGTAACTGACATGGTGGGTTTGTTGGTCTGATACTCTGATCCCACATGCCAGAGTACAATAGATGCTGCAGAAGGCCATAAGGGTTTAGAAACTTTGCAGTGGAAGATAATGAATTATGTTTCAGTTTTATTAAATTCAGTAAAGCGAGAGAATAATATGTGAGCGTCAGTATTATATTTTTACACCTAATGTTTATATGAGTAGATTCAGCAAAAGTTCATAAGGTAGGATTGTGTGAATCCAAAATCACCAATATTTTTTAGTACTGGAGGATGTATATTTAATTGTTCATTAGTTGCTGATTGTCTTAAGTCAGTTTTTTTAAAGTGATACTAAATGTAACAGATATATGAATTATGAATGACAAACGACACAATACAAGGGAGGTGCCAACAGATTTCCCATGGAAACTAATAGAAGACATGACAAATGGTTTTGCGGTGGAGCAAAAAATTGGTAGTGGTGGATATGGGGCGGTTTACAAGGTATGGTTAATGATTTTTGCTTCTGTCTTTTCAGTTTCATCTATCAATAATGAAACGCCTGCAATCAAAATGTGAAATAGGGAGTGCATCCAAATGGACAAGAGCTAGCTGTGAAAAAACTTCACCACATGCCAGGATTAGACGAGGATCAGTTTCAAAATGAACTTCGAATCCTTACTGGAATTTGCCATCCAAACATTGTCCAGCTCATTGGGAAAAGCTACATAGAGCAAGATAGATGTGTGGAACACCAAGGCAGACTAGTGTTCGCTACTATGATAAACAGAGCAATATGCTTGGAGTTTTTGCCTGAAGGAAGCCTTGAGCAGCATCTTTCTGGTATGAGATAATTTTGGTTAGTATAAGCTAGTTAGCGTTGATCTCTACAAATGCTAGTTACATTTGATAGAATAATTCTGTAAACATGTCTCATTTGTTTCATTCGTTTTCTTCTACAGATGAACGGTCTGGACTTCGTTGGCATAATCGCTACAAAATAATAAAGGGGATTTGGGATGGTTTGAAATACCTTCATGGGGAAAAAATTTTCCATCTTGACCTCAAACCTTCAAATATATTGCTTGACAAGGATATGGTGCCAAAAATTGCAGACTTTGGCTTATCAAGGCTCTTTAGTGGAACTCGTCAATCTCGTACTACAGAAAATCTTCTAGGGACTCTGTGAGTTAAATGATCAGTTCCTTATAGATCTGTCCCTTATTTTTTCCTTCTTTAAAATATTAGTATGTTTGCATTGTGCTTACACATGTGATATTCTAAGATATACTGTACTAAAAAACCATTTGTGGAGGCGCCTTCTTTTTTTAATAAGGGCGGCTCAATCTACAATCGTCTTTAAAAATGGTTTCCGAAACGAGCCACTTTCAGAAATGCATTTGTAGGGATAACTGGTATTTTTAGCCGTCCCTACAAATGCCTCTATCTTTAGAGGCTTCTAGATCTAGCCGCCTCAAAAAATGGATTTCTAGAAGCGGCTAGATTTAGAGCCATCTCTAAAAGTCGATTTATAGAGGCGGCTGGATCTAGAGCATTCTCTAAAAATATGTGCACTATAGCAAAATTCATAACTTTGTCAAACGAAGTCGGCAGAAGACAAACTTTATAACAAAGTTGTATATGTCGTCGAGATCTACAACTTTTTAGTTGACAACTTTTTTAATTGAAATCATTTAGATCCAACAAATTCTATTTGAAGTTCTCACATGTTGAAATTCAAATTATTTGAATTTTTCAAACGACCTCGGATGAAGAAATGGTCAAAACCAAAGTTATAGATCTCAAAAAGATATAAAATATTGCAGTTTATCACTTTTTCATTTGAAATAATCTATGGCCCCAAAATATAGTTTGAAGATCTCACATATTGAAATTCAAATTTTTTGATTGGCCTCGGATGAAGAAACGACAAAAACCAAAGTTGTAGATTTCGAAGAGTTATACAACTTCATAGTTGATAACTTTTTTATTGAAAATCATTTATCTAAGAAAAATTATGTTTGAATTTCTCATATTGAAATTCAAAATTTTCAAACAACCATGGAAAAACAACCAAACCCAAAGTTGTACTACTTGACGATATCTACAACTTTGCAGTTGAAACCCTTTTCATTTAAATTCATTTAGGGTCCCAAATACTCATTTGAAAATACGGTAAAGTGAATACGAAGAGAATGTTTGGGCCCTCACAAGTGATTTTGAGGTAGTGTGATCAGGGCAGCTATGCATGAGGCTTCGAGGCCGCGAGTTCAAAACCTTGTGGCCCGGCCTTTCCAGATTAAAAAAAGATTTTTTTCCAGTTTATGATTTTTGGAAAACAATCTGTAGAGGCAAGATTTTAGGGGCGACTAGGCCTACAGATCGTTTATTTCTAGCAACCTAAATTTATAGACGGTTGGCTCAGTTGCCTAGGCATCTCCGTAGTAGTGATAGAGTGCCTTCATGATTTTGAATATTTAGTGGAAAACAACCACTGAGTTGAATCGTGAAACACCTCTCGAAAAAATTAGTCTCAAAG